TTGTTTTCGACTAACAAAAAATAATTAACATCAATTTTATATTAGACCTAAGATGAAAGTATTTGTACTTCAACTTTCTGTAGTTTTTCAAGTAAAACGTAAAAGTATAAGTACTCTTACGTGTACTTGGTACTTATACTTAAGTACGAAAACAGAGTACTTCGTATTTTTATTAGAGATATAAATAAAATAAATTGTATAAGTAAGATTGAGTAGCTGTAATAAATTTTTGAAAACTGCCATGATATTCTCGAATTACAGCATAAATGACTGCTGAACTCTTTTTTAATGAAAATTTTCAGTCTCATATAGCAATAAATTCACTGTAAGTCACTTGAAGATATTGTCTTCTTTGATTGTTTGGATTTCTTCAAAATCTGTCATGGGCATGTCTAAATAAATATTCCCCTTCGATACCATGCCCATACTGAATATAGTTTTTCATGACAATAAGAAGAATCTATATGAATTCAGATCCTTAGTTTGCGGTTAAAACATCGAAAGGAATTGAAAACTATGATAATCATTCTAGCATTATGAGTAACTATCAAAATTTCAACGAAACCAAAAGAGCAGTGGAATAAAAAAACAGAGGACATTGTTTCGAATTTAGGTATAAGTAAAAAAAAAAGTATTTGTCTCGAAGTACAAGCATTATATACTTCTACATGCGGTACGAGTACATAGCGCATGCACAAAAAGTATCGAGACTAGTTTTATTAAAAAACAATAAGAAGCATTGTTGTATTGGTACTAGTGTCTGTGTGTAGTTTGTTCAGTCCTCTATTCGTAGACATCATCAACTCAGTTGAAATACACATACCTACGACATAAAATATCCAAATAAATTTTAGATCATTGTTTATACACTGATGGTAAATTAAAAAAACTGCAACAAAGTTTTATGTTTTAAAAGACTAGTTACCATCCAATATTTATGAATACATGGTGATAGTTTTACAGTGATATAAGTCTATCATATACTACGATATATGAATGGGCTCGTCGTTCTAAAGATGAATAACTAACTATTAATGATAGTTCTAAGTATAGTGGATATGTTGTTCACATAATGTTGGAGAATGTTATATTTTCATGAACTGACTTTAGTTCTATATAATTAATCATATCAAAATACTATGTGCTGTAAATTTGAAATGCTAATATAGTGTCCGTTATTTATCCAGATGCGATTCGTCTATTTTCAATCATCGTGCTTCTAAAAGTTTTAACAATATGTTATTCACATTTATAACAATTATACTATTTACATATCAATTATTACTATAATGTATGATAATTCCTCTTCACAAAAACGATTCCATTTGGAAGTTGTAGCGAGTGATAGATAATCGATCATCATGAACTGACAATATATATATATATACATATATTCATAAATATTAAATGAAGCATGACCTTCCAGAGGAAGAAATTTTATTAGTGATCGATGCTCGAAAATTTGATTTTCTGTCAGTACATAAACAATGAACTAAAATGTGTTTCGCTATTTTCGTATTTTATATATTCTCAATACTCACTTCTTTTTTGATCCACATGTGTAAACATGAATCGTTCAATTGATATGCAAATGTCGACATAAGTAATGATCGAATACGACCAATGATCAATTCAGGTTTTAATATATAAAATTCTTTTTCATCATTGGACAAATATTTCAAAGTAAATGAAATACTTGATAAATATTTAAAACTATTAATCAATTGTATTATATGATCCAATCGTCCAATTGATACATGTAATCGTTCGATATATGGAAAAAGATGACAAAGTTGATGAATAGTATATGAATCATTAATAATATGATATTCAGAAATTGTTAATGTACGAATTTGTTCGAATTGTAGACCCTTAATTTTTTGGAGAAAATCTGAAAAATTTCTTCCAGAATTTTGAAAATGTTCGTAGGTTATTTCTGTCATCAACTAAAAAATTAAATTTTATCTCATACTAAAATGATTGATCATTGAGAAAATAACTTAAATCTTACAGTATCAATTGATAAATTTTGAAGATGAGGCATATTATTAAAAAGATATTTGATGTTTGACTTATTCATCGATGTATTTAATGTTAAATTTTTCACTCCAATTAGATTAACAATAGCCGAAAGAATTTCTACGGAAATATATTTACATCCAATCTCTAATGTTGTAATATTCATAAAGCGATGACAAGTGTCAATTAAATTATAATTTAATGTTAATTTTTTAACATTATCATAGAAGGTTGCATTTTTTAAAATGGTTGTATATTCTGGTGGTTGAAAGAATTCATCGACATGTTTATACATAGAACAAGGTATTGTATAAAGATAATTGTTGTCATAAGCTACAAACCAATGTTTTTCTTTTATCCAAAATGAAGTTCGAAATGTATCAAGAATTTTCTCGATCGAATGAAGCGTGATAATGAATATAAATTTCAGTGTAATCCAATATTTTGCTAATAATGCCCATTGATGTCCATTAGTAAGATCAATATGACTCTTTGTACATAATTCGAGATGTTTCAAACGAGGAAAATTTATTAGAAATTTTTCTATTTCATTCATTGATACACGAAAATCTATAGTTCACAATACAAAAGAATTTGTTAAATGTCAATTTTTTTGTTTCATTCAAACAATACTCACCATCAATTTGTAGAACAAGTCGAGTTAAATAATTAAGTTGACATTGAAATTCAATTTTTGATGTTTGATGTATGACAGTAACGTTTAATGTTTTAAGTTGTGGTGTTGTCAAGCAAATAGTTTTTAATTGATCAAATGAATAACGTAAAAGTTTTAAATAGCGAAGATTAGCAAATGGTAGAGATAGTGGAATAGTCATTTCTGAATTCAACAACAATGAACAAAGATGATTGAGTTTATTTAAATTTAGATTGATAATTTCTAATGATTTCTTTTCTATTTGTATTAATATTAAGAATTGAAGATGAATAAATTGATCGATTTGAAAATGAGATAAAAAGACTTTAGATTGACCAGGTGTATCTTTGTCATCAGACAATATTAATATTTTAACTTGATTAGGCGATATATGTTGACAAATAAGATCAAAATCAGATCGACGAATTGATTTGAAATTGAGTCGATAATTGGAATATAATCTGATTACATTATTCAGGTAAGGACTAATATTCAACAATGAGAATAAGATCTCTTCAGTTCGCAAATATGTAAAGAGTGTATGTAAAACCACAACAGACAATCGATCTAATAGAAAATGAACCATGATACAATAATCTAAAAATATAGATCATATAATAGAAAAAAAATTAATTAACTGTAATACAGTATATGTTAATCACAGAGAACATATAAATAACTTTCTCTAACGTTATGGTTCTACAATGAAAACGAATCTCGAAACGCATATTTTAGATATGAACTCATTATCATATTTTGTCAGATATCCTTCTAAAATACAACAAATACCCATTTACGAATACCTAAGTATTACTTGAATGAAGATCTATTATTGAAAAAAACTAGAGAATTGATCGTAACAACTAGTTGAGTAACATTTAGGATAAATTCTATAGATAAGCCAATTGGCTATGGACTTGATATGCGTTTACAAAGGTATATATGTCAATTCTGGGTCAATTACGAGGAAAAACATTCATTCGCGCTCATTCAAACGGATGTAAATGTCCGAATAGTTTTTCTTCCTCTTGGTTTTCATTTTTAACTGACCAAGTATTTCGAAAAGGATGAAAACTAAATTAAAGCAAACTTAATGCTAAATTGTGTGTTTAATGTAGGTAATACACCCGTGGGCAAAAGTCTTTCCTTCACCTCTTTTTTCAGCAAGACTTTCTCTACTATTATAAGGACAAAACATGGTGTTGTTCGGACCGACTAGGAGTTATTAGGGGTCCTCTTTTATATAGGAAAACCTTGCCGAAAAAAGAGGGGGGGGGGGAGACTTTTGCTCACGAGTGTATATTTAGTCTGCCTTTCAGGCATCAACAAAGATGATTTGAAACCAATTAGAATAAACCAATCATAAGAATATTAGATGACACCCCAACTCGGAGCAAATAAAGTACAATTAATTCAACTTATAAAAATGATAGTGGACCTATAACCATCTTTCAGATAACAATCCATTAGTTCGATAGATATTCACAACTAGGATCCTCACCATAGTGTATGATTATCCATGTTTAAAATGACAATTTCATTCATAAATTTTCGTAAATAATGAAAGATCTGTTATCAGAAATTTTCTCTATACGGGTGTGGCTGAAAATTAAAAAAAGCAACACTCACACCCACACTCACACCCGTGATCGACTAGCAGTCAAAAGTCTTTATATATACAATTAAATATTTATTTATTATTTCCATTGATGTTATATGGATAATTATTTTCTTTTCTTAACATTTAATATCGATGATCATGAGGTATTATTAGTTGATATAGCAGACGAATGATGATTTGTTGCATTTGCTTCAAGTTGAACATGTGGATCATTGTGTAATTTAGACCTATCATGTTGTCATTTACATCGACTAATGTAAAATAAAAAAAGAGCCATAAATAAAAAAAAGTTCGCGATTTATTCTTACCGACATTGAAACCAACGAGAAAGTTTCAACTCGTCACGTGACGAGTTGAACAAACATAAAAAATCAGACCTTTCGTAACACCAAAAATAGGGATATCCAAAAATACAGGGATGTCGTAACAAAATTTACAGGGCGATCGTAACGATTAACACAGGAAATTCGTAACAGTTGCAGGGCCTTCGCAACGAAGCAACAGGGCTTTCGTAATGAGGATAAGGGTGATAGCTGGACTTAGTTTCCAGAAATTACATGCTTTTCGTTACGAAAGCCCTGTAATGGTACATATCAAAACATGCATTACGATCGCCCTGTAAAATTTGTTACGAAACCCCTGATTTTTTGTTACGAAAGCCCTGATTCTGTCGTTGCGAAAGCTCTGTTACGGGCTTTCGTATTGTCAATTCGTTACGAAAGCCAGAAAACAAAAATCGTGACGAGTTGAAATTTTCCCAAACCAACACTAAACAAAGAAAAAAAAATAGATCAACATAAAAAAAAAGATTTTATTACTTTAATTTGTCGTTCAGTTAATTCAAGGTCACGAGCAATTTCAACTCGTCGGTGACATGTTAAATATCTATTAATATTCATAAATAAATAGAAAAATATTCTTTTTTCTTACTTGTTACAATGAAATTCTTTTTCTAATTCAAGTAGTTAATATTTCGTATAACCTTTTCGAATAGATTTACGTGCAGAATTAAATTCTATAAAGAAAAAAAGAAAGAACGACTTCATAGTAATCATAAATAAGCAAAATAATAGTACAAATGTTAATCATTTCTATAAATTACATTTATATATTTTCAATACATCATTTTTCTCAATCAACTTTTGAATATCTAGTCTCATTCATGAATATTCAGTTTTAGACATTGAATTTGTAACTGACTTAGAAAATTTTAATGATGATATCATATTATTAACTGATGATGAAGCATCATTTGATCCTGGCGCAAGATCATCAGTAGTTGATTGATATTGTTCATGATGGGATGTATCTGTTTGCATCATATTCAAATTTGAAGATGTGTTCATAAATGTTGAATCTTTATTTGTTGGTGATAAGCTGCAATCAGTATTCATTGTCTTTGTAATATAGAGAGATAATTAAGTAACAATATTGTCTATAAAAAAAATTCACATACATGTTTGGATCAATTAAGAAAAACGTTAAATAGGTATATGAACATATTTTAAATGATAATTGAAATTATTGTTGGGTATGTTGGGAAGAGAATAATTGGAATGAAACATTCTACTCGTTTGTGTTTAATTCAAAGAATGATCTAATACATACAATATGAACTGAAAACGATCAGACCGAAATTGCTCGACAAATGTCCTTGAATACGGATATGACGAATGATGGTCCATGGGATCGGTCACTTCTAGCCATTCGCAATTTGAGAAAAGAAAAGTATCTGTCCAATAATCTATAGCGGTTATTGACCTTTAATTCTTCGTTTGTGTGACCTTTTCACCGAGGATTGACCTTCTCTCTTTGCTCTCTCTGCTGTGTGATTACATCCATATAAGTTGCATTTAATAAAGAAAAGACATAGTTGTGAATATGCATATGATACAAGACACCATCGTACCGAAAGCCATAGGCAGTTATTCTCACAATTCATCATATAACTAATCAATATTTTTCTTTTGGTTGATAGACAATGTGTCTATTCTCCCGTTTTTTTTCTTCGAAGAACGATTATTCATTTTATCATTACCCGATAAAGGTATATATGTAGTTTCCATAGACAAGTATCTTTGAAAAAGAATTGATTCAAAATTTCTACTCTTCATATTGAGATGCTTGAAGTATCCTTTGATATTAAATGATGACGATAAAGTTAGCTGATTCAATCTTCAATCACTTGGTCTTTTGAGTGGAAAATTTCAAACTTTTTTTCTCGCATTGATATGTAGAGATCGGATCTTTGCGTTTGACAATGTCACATAAGTAAAGTTAAGAAGACCTTAAAA